CATCTTGATGAAAGTTTGAGACGGTTTCCCTGTCAAGTCCTCCAATATCATGAGATGTTGCATTGACCAATGTTGACCTAACAACCAGTCCAATACTAGCTGCCTCATTCTTCAGGTTTGCCAAAGATGCATTGATGTTTTTAATTTTATGTGCCATTTTGCGACGAAATGCGATGGGATTGTGGCGTGAAAAGAAGTTGAGCACCTTTTTCTTGATCTGGTTTTGGATCTCCACTTTCCGCCGGAGAAGTTCATATTCATATTCATCCAACACATCATCAGCTTCATGAGCTATGCCTTCCAGATCCTTCACCCACATCTCCACCCTCTCACCCCGAACTTGTAAATGCTGTGCATCTCTTAGCATAGCTTCCAACTTGAATAATGAGTCTCGTAGACTTGTTAGCTCTCCTTTGAATCCCCAGAGAAGACTGAGTTCTTGCTCTGCAAGTGAAGCCGCCCTCGTCAGAATTCCCTCAGCACCAAAAGTAAGAAACTCTGCAGCCATATTTTCTTTCAGTGTTGCTCAAAACAGAGAAGGGAATGCTTAATTTGGGTTAGAAAAGTAAAAATGAAAACTTTTTCCAAATTCCACTTCCAAAGTAGAGAAAATTCATAAAATAAGGTGACCCAGTTCAGCTAACATAAAAATAAACACAAAGAAATCAACGGTTACTTCAAAAACTAATCAGAGTAAGATTGTATCTCTGAGAAGGTTGTGAGGGATTTTTGGACAGAAACGCGTGTGATTGGAGGAACTTATACAGAAATGTCATATGGCTGGCGTCAAAAGCTAACAATAATTTTGTGGATTGAATACTTTTAAAAAAAAAATTATACAAAAATTTGTGTACGGAATAATTGTGGATAGATATCACTCCGTACTTTAGATTCTGGATAAGGTTGTAATAGTTATTTTGTCCATTCTTTTGTGATTAATGAATTTTCATGGTATGTATGTCACCCAAATATATAAACTAAATGCAAAGAGTTTATAGCTCAACTGATTAAAATATTTACATGCATTTAAGATTCTCAAAATTTACAACTAACAAAGAATAGGATAACAATTTCCGCCGGGATGTCCAAATGCCTGAGCACTACACAGGAACAGAAGTAGAAAATGGCTATTTATCTTGAAATTTAGGATGGATTGCCATTTCACACCTTTTGCTACTTATTATTCTCATATGTGATTGCCATTTCAAGTTGCAACTGTTGTTACATTGCCTTCCTCTCAAACTCTACCAGTGCTTCCCACAATTTTGGGTCCTCAAAGTCTTTAATAACAAAGGCTGCTCCGGCATTAATCAATGATATCTCAGGATTCCTTGTGCCTAAGGCCACTACTGGCATTCCAGCTGCTACACCCGCTTTCACCCCTGAAACAGAATCCTTAACAACCAAAAACAGAACACAGATGACTGCAAGGCATATCAAAATTTTCATGGAGAATGCTATTAGTAATGTTGGAAAGCACAGAATTCTGAGAGCCAAACCTCAAAGGCGAAAGCATGCTTGTGTGACACCTGAAGTGCTTGGAGAGCCTTCAAGTAAGGGTCAGGAAATGGTTTTGCTCGATCACATTCATCTCCAACAACAACAATTTCAAAAAAATTCGAGAGCTCCACCGTTGATATTAATAGCTCGCCATTTGGTCTTGGACCATTTGTTACTGCAGCCCGTTTCAAGCCTTGATTTTCAATCCATTGGCGCAACTTGTGGAGGCCCTTAACAGGTTCTAATTGTTCAGATGCCAATCTGCATATATCACTCAGAAAATCAAGATCAGACCTGGTCTCAATGGATAAGAGAAAATGAAAGAGATCAAGCATTGTTTTTCAGAAATATAGGGTCGTCGCCCTGGTCCTTTCCATTCACAATTTGTATTGACAGAAAACTATACTGGAACACTTAAGATTGAGTATATAGTCAAAAACCATATTTCCAAAAAATTGATAAGAAAACATAACCACCTATTAGTAATACCACAGCACTATGTACTGACAATATGAAATGAAGCATACAGTTCCTTCAGTTCGTGACAGTTTTTAGAAGTTACCTTCGAAACATGGCTTCCTTATCTTCAAAAAAATTTCTTGCTCTTTGGATATCCCACTCAGGAAAGAGGATACTACAAAGTTTCTCATTATGCATTCCACTTAAATTGTCACTGAAGAATTCCTCAGTGATAGGAACCCCACCATTAAAACCTACCTGTGGTACACCAATGCATGAGTCTTGGAAGATGCTAAATGAGAGAGAGAGAGAGAGAGAGAGAGAGAGAGGTATACTTCTTGAAGCATTTCACGGTAAGCATAATAATGGAGCGGATCCGAATCACACAATGTTCCATCAATATCAAATAGAATTGCTTCAAGAGGAGAGAGAAAAGCTAGAGAAGATTTTCTGTCATCACATAATGGGAGGTGATTACGGCCCGAAATGGAAAAACAAGAATGAAAATATAAAGAAAATGAAATTAAGATGCTTGTCTAGTGGTTGGTGCAGAATGAGCAGCATTGCTTGGGGTACTAGTAAACATTCCTTTCTGTTTAGATATATTACAGTTAAAAAATATTGAACTGCTCAATAAAGCAACAGTGAAATTTCTTGTAAATTATGTTGACATTTGAAAAAAATGCATCCACAAGTATCTCCAATACAATTATGACTATTGTACATAGGATAAAGGATATATGATATATGATATCAGTACAGGCTAACAGTAAAATAAGGACGAAGAAGACCCAGTTTTAACAAAGATCATAAAGAGCTTTGGATCTTTTGTTCCACCCAACCTTTTCTCTAGTCTCTGGTCTCAGCTATACTCAACTTTTGCTATGTCTATGTCTAAGTTGGCAAAGTATAGCTCATAACAAAATTACCAGATAAAACACAACTTTTTAAAGTTGGGATTATGCCTTAGACCCAAGAGCAGAGTCTGAAGGGGTTACAATCCTATGAATGGGCAAGAAGTGGACATCTTTGTTCAGACAGGATAAGGATCAAACTTCTTAAACTATCCACCATATCAATCATGTAACTTTATACATCCCAAGCCTCCCCATAGTGCAAAAAATAACTTCACAGTTAAGGATCTGCAGTTATACTTCAATTATATCAGTTTTGTGAGTCCAAAATATGATTAGGCAATAAGCACACTGCAACATATATGCCAAATCTGAATCAAGGTCTCACTCGTGCTAGATCCATACATAACAAATGGAAAAAAAACATTGAGTTCAGAGATGGAAAACCTTTGAATTGCTTAAACAGACATCATCCCCCAACACCATCCACAAAGAAAAAGGGATGTTTTAATCAGACGGAACTTTTCCTAAAGTTGAGAAAAGCACATTTCAATTTTAGATGCAGTTTGCAAATGCTGACAACAGTTTAAACGCAGAAAGCTTTAACATAAAGGTCTACATTTTGTTCATCGCCTGCACTCATTTTGGCCAAGGAACATTGAAATCACTCATTTTTCAACTACACGTCAATCGATGTCTAGCTATGAAGACTATGATCAGCTACCTAAATATTGATGAGGCATGTGAGTCGCCCTGGAAAAGGCTGATGCAACCTCTCAGCTAAGAAATTTGCCAATGTACCCCAATATATTTTTCTGAAGAAAGAAAAAGGAAGGACTTTCATAAACATTAAATGCATACGAACAAGGCTATTGTCAACCATATCTAGTTTTTAAGATTGGAATTCAAACTAATTCATTCAAATTAAGCTCATCATAATCTAAGGCTACTAAGTCAAGTACGAACCTAGAGACCCCTTTTTGCCTAAAACAGCTAGAAAGGAAAAAGAAAACGAAATGTTCATAAATTATGAACAAGGACTGCAATGCTTTCCAAAAATTCACATTTTGTCCTCAACCCCTACCATTCTCAAATTTCCTTGAAGAAAAAAACAACAGGGCCAGGAGATTATGCTTTGCAGAAGAAATTTTGATAGCAGACAATTGCCAATAGACAGTTTATATGTGCACTAAAGAACAATGAACATTGAAACGAACAAAATTCATTATGCCCAAGAAATTAAATCAAACTAAATACCTCTCAATTGGGTGAGCATTAGATGAAACGGATGCCCTGGAAACAAAGGCAGAGCCTAATTGAGTGCGGTTTTGTCTATGAACTATAGATTTCTGCAAATGGGTTTTGGGGAAGTGGTCAGAGAAGAGGCGGCGATACTGAAGAAGATGAGAAGAAGCAAGAGTTTGCATAGTACGGAATGCGAGCAGTGAGAGAGAAAAAAGAGTGATGCTACTCTATGCGAATGTCTCTCTCTTTCTCTCTCTTGGAAATGGAATGGTTGCTTCCTTTCCGCTATGCTGATGGCCTCTCCCGTTTTATGGGGTTGTCATTTATAAGATTTTTTTTTTTAAAATTAATGTCATTTTCTAATTTTCGGATATTTTTATTTATATATTTCTTTTTTCATACTTCCTAACCCAAATTTTTTTATCACAGGTTGTTACTCAACTTTTCAAAAGTTCTCATTTCAGTCCTATTAGAATCAATCAATAAGTCCTTATTAATTATTTTGGATGAATCTAGAGGTTACGTGTTCGCAATGGTATTAGAAATTATTCAAAAATAAACTATTTAAGGGGCTTGTAGCCAAAAAAAAAAAAAAGACCATTTGCCATAAAAAGCAAAAAAAAACATTTAAGTGCATGGTTTTTTTTTATCTTCTCTTGTTAGGTGTTTTTTTAATTCAATAGAATAATTAAGAACACTAATTTGCAATATATAAAATAAGTTATTAGAAAAGACGAGATGACACATGATATATGCGTCGGTATTAAGATGTTGGTAAACCACACATGATACAATTTAAGCCACAGGGCTTACATTGATGTAAAGTACTAGCCTAAAACCTTAAACTAAAATGTGGCATAAATATAAGATGCGTCTATTTCAGTCTTTTACTTGGGCATATATGTATATACAGACACAAAATTTAAGTTGTATCTGTTTGACTCAAGCGAGTTTAGCGAGAACGCCAACAAGTGGAGCTGTGGAAACAGTTGCTGGTTCATCCATTTGGTAGTTTGATCTTGAATCTGTGTAAGCATCATTCTCATCCGGGCCTCCGACAATTGCTCCATCCAGTACATTAGGGTTTGGTGAGTTGTTGTTGAACCATGAGTCGAAGCCCCCTTTGCATGAAACAGGAGCTGCATCTTTCTTGATGGAGACAATGGATGCTGCTCTGTGGTGCACTTGAGTTGGATATTTTGTTCCAAATCCAACCATGAAACTCATGCCACTGGGGTTTGAACCCAAGATATAGTCCACCTAGTAAATGACGGAAAAAAAATACAGTTAATCTAAGATTATCGTATATGTGGGCCACACTAATATAATCGGGATTCGTTTGTATTAGAGAAGTGGTCAGTAATGTAGTCAGTAAATATGGTCCAAATAGAAGCACTCAATTCCTTTTTTCTTTTTGTGTTTCATATTATTAGGTGTTTGTTTTTATGCTTGATTTCCTCTCATCATGATGGAAGATAATTGTACATAAAAAAAGAGATTATACCAAAACAAAAAGGAAGAAATAAATGCAATTTCTCTTTAGATGGAAGTAAGTAAATGCAAATCGTATTGACTTTTAAATTAGATCTATTACTGGAAATTAAATATACCTAAAAATCTGGACCAAAAACAAAAAGACAAACAACCCGTATGTAATACACAACTGTATTATAGGAAGACGATCCACCCCAAAAAAAAATCTTCCGTAATAAAAAATTAGAATCTGATATGATTTATGTTTATAAATGTTCTAAGGATCGAAGTCTACTTTTCCAAAACAAGAACCCCAAGTTTTATTACAAGATTTATTTTGTTCTACTTTAAATTGTAACTATATATATACTATATAGAGCAGAAAGGAAGGATATCACACCTGTGATTGGGCCAAGTCAGCAAGATCCTTAGGCTGGACAATGCCTCCAGGGCATTGAATGGCGGCATGCTTGGCGTTCAAGTATTCAGAATAAACAGTTGCGACGAACACAGCAGTTGAAGTGTACTGAAGATTGTTCCATGGCAAGAACCACAACAACCCACCAGGAGTCTTCTTCACATTGCTGTTGCCCTTCTGAATGCAAGAGCAAATGAATTGCTCAGCCTGGCTCTTGTATTGGCTCCATGTGCCTGAAGACTCCACCTTGCCTTCCAACACAAGCTGTGAATATATAGACGTTAAGAGTGCATATACTAATAGACGTCTATGATGTTCTCTTGCCAGATTTATAAACGGAACATCGCATTCATTTATTCAAATTTTGATTCATATAGTCTAACTAATAACATATCATATCAAACTATCTGACAAAAAAAACAAATCGCGATATATTTACCTTTGCAACAAGGACTTGTGCACCAATAAACTTGTCATCCCAAGAGAACACAGTTCTTGCACCACCAGTATTGCCTGCTTGACCAAGATAATCCAGGTATGTTTTTTCATCGGTGGCACGATGAAGCCAAGCAGCAGCCCACAATAGTTCATCCTTAATTACAAAGAAAAATACATTAATTTAATTCCCAAAATTTGGAGTTTAGTAAAATATTTGAACAAATAAGTTGATCGTTCACGACTTTTTAATTGATTAATTAGAGTTATTATTTGCATGAACCCTTTCTCATATATAAATTACCTCATATCCACTGCTGGAGTAGAATTTTCCTGCTACATTAATGCTATTCTGATAAACACCAGAGTGATCACGAGCAAACTCGAATAGCTGCAAATTTTTATAATGCCACAATAGATACAAAAGTAAAATAATCATTAGGTATTGTTACACTGATTATATTTGAAAACTAAAAGCACTGCATAAAATATATGAGATTTGTGAATAGAAAAGTACTAATTAATATCTCAAATGTCTTATAATGATCACTAGACATTAGGAAATGTTTTTACGCGCCGAAGTAAAATCTGACATGAAATGTTATCGGACCATAAATGTCGACTTTTTGATCAGGTGAATTATTATGTACAAAGAGTAACAGAATGCACGATGTTTAATTTCGCAGAAGAGTTAGCAGTGTTACCTCTTTAGCATGGGTCAAAAGTTCAGACGCATACTTAGAGTCTTTATCCTTGAAAGCAATGGAAGCAGCAGCCAAAGCAGCAGCGGTTTCACCAGCAAGGTCAGCTCCCGGATGCTGCTCGTCGATCTTAAAGGTGGTCCGCGGCGTGGTCATGTCTTCGGGTCTCTGCCAGCATTCATGATCAGAATCACCATCGCCAATTTCGCCATAGAGGACATTCGGCGCAGCGTGTGCTTTGACCAAATAATCAGTGCCCCATTTAATGGCATCCAATGCATTTGAGAGCTCACTCTTGGCGTCAAGTTTGCTCCCGAATTCTATGGTACTCCATGAAAGCATTGTGATTGTGAATGCCATGGGAAATCCAAACTTGACATTGTCCCCAGCATCATAATATCCTCCCACAAGATCAACCTGTTATGTCAATAAATATATGGAAGGTGACTTAAGGTTAAACCGGGACCTCAATATTAGAAAAAGAAATACCACTAAATTAACTATAAGAAAAAACATCGACACGGTAGCGTAGATGCCCAACAGTCGTTGATAATATGGTTTATAACAAATGGGAGAATCAAACTATGTGTTAACTTACACCAGCATCACTTCCATCTTTAAGCCCAGAATCCCCACGCCATTGCACCCTTTGGTTTGGAGGCAACTTTCCAGATCGTTGAGCCTCATAATACAACAAGGACTTGGTGAGAGCATCCCCATAGTCAAATGAAGCAAACACTGAATTATGAGTCAATAGAAACATAGACAAGCAAAGCAAACCAAAGACTTTGCTGGAAGCCATGATGACTCTAGGGAAATATAATGATGAAGATGAATGTAACTGCAAAGCTATATATGGACAAACAAGGTTTTCAAATCTCAAATTTATAGTAAAATTTTGGGTCCTTGAGGCCAATTAAAGATTGCTATGATTTTGATTTTGCGATATCTTTCCATAAGCAGTCCCCGATTGTTACAAATATAACTGCAATAATTAAGGACCTTCTATGTGGGATTTGATATGGAACTTTCTTGAATATTTACCAATGTCAATGAAATTATTACCCAAAAAAAAAAAAGTCAATGCAATTACTGGACCTTTTTTGCCCAAAAATGGTGATTTTTCAATCATTAACCTCAAATTAGTGGTCTAATATGAACCCTACGATTGGAGGGTCTGTTTTTCATTACAAAAAGAATATCAATTTTAATAAATTTTCATGCAACTGTACGGTTGAACATTTAAAAGATGCAATCAATTTTTATTGCTTAATGGAGATTTCGGTTTTAAACAACAAAGTTCGTAAACATTAAAAAAGAATTCACCATATGAAGGAGAAATTGAGAAGATTTGGAACTAATTAGGGAAATGTCTTGCAATTGAATGCTTAAATTATTAAGACACGCAACTGATTCATTGAGAATATGACAATAAAATTGGATTATTTTAATGTTACAGAATCGAAAGAAAATATCATACAATTGGAACATCCCAAAAAATTGCTATCTCAAGCCCCTATATTTAGATATCGTGTATTTATTCAGAACATTTAAATGATCTAATGATTTAGATTAAGCTACAGGATAAGTTAGTAAACCGGTCTTCCATTTTCCACGTTGATTTTGGTTGCACTTATGCTGGGCGTCTCACTGGTCTTGATCTACTCTCTCAAACTCACTCAGGTGGTTTGCTTATTAAGACAATTGAGATGTAATGAAATGCGGGTAAATATATAATATCCAAATGAAGACAGAGACAAAGGCACATTGGGACTAGAGTGATCCTAGGCCCCCACTCAGTTTTTATTATATATAATATAAAAAAAGTATTGTGTTATTATGCATTTTAATATATCGATGGTTTTGGAAATATTGGTGGTCCAAAAACACGAAAATTTCAATGGAAATATCGAAAAATTGACCAACACAATGTTCACAATTGCAACAAAAGGAATATACAATATGATTTTTTATACAATATAATTTTTGATATATGTGATATATATGATTGTGAATGGTTTGTCTTGTGCACCAATAAACTTGTCATCCCAAGAGAACACAGTTCTTGCACCACCAGTATTGCCTGCTTGACCAAGATAATCCAGGTATGTTTTTTCATCGGTGGCACGATGAAGCCAAGCAGCAGCCCACAATAGTTCATCCTTAATTACAAAGAAAAATACATTAATTTAATTCCCAAAATTTGGAGTTTAGTAAAATATTTGAACAAATAAGTTGATCGTTCACGACTTTTTAATTGATTAATTAGAGTTATTATTTGCATGAACCCTTTCTCATATATAAATTACCTCATATCCACTGCTGGAGTAGAATTTTCCTGCTACATTAATGCTATTCTGATAAACACCAGAGTGATCACGAGCAAACTCGAATAGCTGCAAATTTTTATAATGCCACAATAGATACAAAAGTAAAATAATCATTAGGTATTGTTACACTGATTATATTTGAAAACTAAAAGCACTGCATAAAATATATGAGATTTGTGAATAGAAAAGTACTAATTAATATCTCAAATGTCTTATAATGATCACTAGACATTAGGAAATGTTTTTACGCGCCGAAGTAAAATCTGACATGAAATGTTATCGGACCATAAATGTCGACTTTTTGATCAGGTGAATTATTATGTACAAAGAGTAACAGAATGCACGATGTTTAATTTCGCAGAAGAGTTAGCAGTGTTACCTCTTTAGCATGGGTCAAAAGTTCAGACGCATACTTAGAGTCTTTATCCTTGAAAGCAATGGAAGCAGCAGCCAAAGCAGCAGCGGTTTCACCAGCAAGGTCAGCTCCCGGATGCTGCTCGTCGATCTTAAAGGTGGTCCGCGGCGTGGTCATGTCTTCGGGTCTCTGCCAGCATTCATGATCAGAATCACCATCGCCAATTTCGCCATAGAGGACATTCGGCGCAGCGTGTGCTTTGACCAAATAATCAGTGCCCCATTTAATGGCATCCAATGCATTTGAGAGCTCACTCTTGGCGTCAAGTTTGCTCCCGAATTCTATGGTACTCCATGAAAGCATTGTGATTGTGAATGCCATGGGAAATCCAAACTTGACATTGTCCCCAGCATCATAATATCCTCCCACAAGATCAACCTGTTATGTCAATAAATATATGGAAGGTGACTTAAGGTTAAACCGGGACCTCAATATTAGAAAAAGAAATACCACTAAATTAACTATAAGAAAAAACATCGACACGGTAGCGTAGATGCCCAACAGTCGTTGATAATATGGTTTATAACAAATGGGAGAATCAAACTATGTGTTAACTTACACCAGCATCACTTCCATCTTTAAGCCCAGAATCCCCACGCCATTGCACCCTTTGGTTTGGAGGCAACTTTCCAGATCGTTGAGCCTCATAATACAACAAGGACTTGGTGAGAGCATCCCCATAGTCAAATGAAGCAAACACTGAATTATGAGTCAATAGAAACATAGACAAGCAAAGCAAACCAAAGACTTTGCTGGAAGCCATGATGACTCTAGGGAAATATAATGATGAAGATGAATGTAACTGCAAAGCTATATATGGACAAACAAGGTTTTCAAATCTCAAATTTATAGTAAAATTTTGGGTCCTTGAGGCCAATTAAAGATTGCTATGATTTTGATTTTGCGATATCTTTCCATAAGCAGTCCCCGATTGTTACAAATATAACTGCAATAATTAAGGACCTTCTATGTGGGATTTGATATGGAACTTTCTTGAATATTTACCAATGTCAATGAAATTATTACCCAAAAAAAAAAAAGTCAATGCAATTACTGGACCTTTTTTGCCCAAAAATGGTGATTTTTCAATCATTAACCTCAAATTAGTGGTCTAATATGAACCCTACGATTGGAGGGTCTGTTTTTCATTACAAAAAGAATATCAATTTTAATAAATTTTCATGCAACTGTACGGTTGAACATTTAAAAGATGCAATCAATTTTTATTGCTTAATGGAGATTTCGGTTTTAAACAACAAAGTTCGTAAACATTAAAAAAGAATTCACCATATGAAGGAGAAATTGAGAAGATTTGGAACTAATTAGGGAAATGTCTTGCAATTGAATGCTTAAATTATTAAGACACGCAACTGATTCATTGAGAATATGACAATAAAATTGGATTATTTTAATGTTACAGAATCGAAAGAAAATATCATACAATTGGAACATCCCAAAAAATTGCTATCTCAAGCCCCTATATTTAGATATCGTGTATTTATTCAGAACATTTAAATGATCTAATGATTTAGATTAAGCTACAGGATAAGTTAGTAAACCGGTCTTCCATTTTCCACGTTGATTTTGGTTGCACTTATGCTGGGCGTCTCACTGGTCTTGATCTACTCTCTCAAACTCACTCAGGTGGTTTGCTTATTAAGACAATTGAGATGTAATGAAATGCGGGTAAATATATAATATCCAAATGAAGACAGAGACAAAGGCACATTGGGACTAGAGTGATCCTAGGCCCCCACTCAGTTTTTATTATATATAATATAAAAAAAGTATTGTGTTATTATGCATTTTAATATATCGATGGTTTTGGAAATATTGGTGGTCCAAAAACACGAAAATTTCAATGGAAATATCGAAAAATTGACCAACACAATGTTCACAATTGCAACAAAAGGAATATACAATATGATTTTTTATACAATATAATTTTTGATATATGTGATATATATGATTGTGAATGGTTTGTATGAAAATAATTATGATTGTGATGAATATACAATATGATTTTTGATATATATGATGTTTTGGTATGCATTGTGAGTCCAAATTTTTTTTATAAAATAAAATAAAATATATTTAAAAACCCTTACTATTTTTTTTTCCCTATACGTATGATGGTGTTTCTTTTTGTTAACATCTGTTAAAGGGATCAGATTACCAAGTTGTCTGGGTAGTGTAGTCGGTTATCACGCTAGTCTCACACACTAGAGGTCCCCGGTTCGAACCCGGGCTCAGACATTTTTTCAGTCTTCTAAATCTAGATATACCATTTTATCACGTCGTATCCTTGTCTTGTCTGATTCCTTTTCCATTTCGTTTATTCCCAGGTTGGCTGCCAACAATCTTTTTTTCTTTTTTCTTTTTTCCTTTTTTTTCAAATTTTTGGTGAGGAACACAGCATTCTAATTGTTGCGGGAAGGATTGCAAGTTGCAACCACTTCAAATTTTTGGTAAAGGCTTTGCTCACTTTGTTCGCAACTCTTAGAATTTTATGAACTGCAGTGATTGGATGTGGGCATTGAATGGGATTTTGCATTTGACAGGCACAAATTCTTATTGCACGTGTTATTTTGTGTCTTGGGTTCTTCATATAGTGTACGCATATCCCAATTTAGTTGTTTGTGTGTTTGACAGTTTATGTTGAACGTTATGTGTTTGACGAAATGCATGTGTAAGTGTGTTGCCTTAAGAACATTGGAGTTTCTCTTTTGTTAAGGGAAAAGAAGAAGAAAAGAAACACTCTTTTTGTTAATGTTGTGGTTTGGAGGCATTGTATTGTAGTTATGATTGGGTTTAGATTGAGAAGCCTTCTTAAAACAAGTCCCATTATCTATTATTAGAAGATATAGTCAGTGCACAAATGTTCATTCAGGAACCGTTTTCTGACAGGCTACTACTCCATAAAGATGTTGTTTATCTGGGTTTTAGTCTTTCTCTTTTGTTTTTGATTTATTTGCATTTGGCAGAAACACAATTTGTGAGAAAATGAAACGAAGGTATCTTTACGCTGCTCGTCTCTTACAGTGAAAACGTAGACATTTAAGAGTGGAAACTACCCGAGAATCACTCAGGGAGTTGGAGTCACTTTTACAAAATTTGCCTAAATTGCAAAACTGTGATCTGGGTTTTACAAACAAAAGAAATGCAAGTTCAAAGGCTTTCACTTCCAAGTTACACCCTCACTCCACCCAATGTCTCACCATCACAGCAACTCTCCTCCAAGATTTTGAAGTTGAATCCAAATTCCAAATCTGGGTTTTGTGATTCGCTCAAAATGGTGTTCAAATCACCAACTGGTTTGAGAAGCCATGGTGGTTCGGTGGGGGTCATGTGTGGAGTGGCACAGCAAGAAGATACTGATGACGGGTTCTATATGAGGAGATGTGTGGAGCTTGCAAGAAAGGCTATCGGGTGTACCAGCCCAAATCCTATGGTGGGTTGTGTTATTGTCAAGGATGGCAAGGTTGTTGGTGAAGGCTTTCACCCCAAAGCTGGCCAGCCACATGCTGAAGTAAACTTCTTTTCCTTTTTGTATTTTCTTTGTTTTAATTTTCCTTCTGAAATGCGTCTATGCAAGTGATGAATTGTTGTGCTAGAATCTTCAGTCACATTACTCTTTCTTTGTTTGCGTAGAAGTTAACTGACGGTCTGGTTCTTTCAAGTTTGGTTCTGTTCATTCTAGTTTTTTTCCCTTTATTTTTGTTAAATTTCCACTGGTATTTTCTTTACAACCTAGTGGAACATTTAGTTGAATGGTTTGTAGAGATGGCGGTCTTGAATTCTCTTCCTATTTCAGTTCTTGCTATGGATGGTTTTTTTAAAAAATAATCTGAAGTTGTTTGTAGAGGTGGCAGTCTTGAATTCTCTAAAAATAATCTGAAGTTGTGTGTGTGTGTGCTATGGATGGTTTTTTTGAAAATAATCTGAAGTTTGTAGAGATGGCAGTGTTGAATTCTCTAAAAATAATCTGAAGTTTTGTGTGTGTGTGTGTCAGACTTATATAATATATAGGTTTGATCATTATGATGATCTATGCCAACTTTTCTTCTGTTTTACATGAACTTCATCTGTTAATGAAAATTTATACCAGGTCAAATGTTTCAGGTTTTTGCTCTGAGGGATGCCGGGGATTTGGCTGAGAATGCAACAGCATATGTGAGCTTGGAACCATGTAATCACTATGGGAGAACTCCACCATGCAGTGAAGCCCTAATTAAAGCCAAAGTGAAAAGGGTGGTGGTCGGAATGGTGGATCCAAATCCAATCGTAGCATCAAAGGGGTTGGATAGATTAAGAGATGCGGGAATTGAAGTTACTACGGGTGTAGAAGAAGAATCATGCAAGAGGTTAAACGAAGCTTATATCCATCATATGCTAACAGGGAATCCTTTTGTCACTATGAGGTAAATTTATTCTGTTTAGATTAGTCAATAATAAAAATACTATCATTGAACATTAAAACAAGTGGAAATCCTGCCTTCATGTCTTTGACTGTTGAGATTTGATAGTTCATGAATGGATGTTATGCTATCTTTTCCTTAGAATTTGCTAGTCATTTGTTACCTAAAGAATTTTATGTTCATTTGCTGGTACTCTGAAGTTGACCATTATCATATTTAAGCCTTTTTTCTCATTAGCAGATACTCTATGTCAGTCAACGGACACTTTCTAGATCAGCTTGGAGAAGGAGTTGCCAAGTCTGGTGGTTACTACTCACAATTGTTACAGGAATATGATGCAATTATTCTTTCTTCTTCCTCAATAATTGAGAACGCCTCTATTCCAGTATCCCAAGAAGCTGGAGCCAATCAACCAGTCCAGATTATAATAGCTAGGAATAGTAGTTCTCCAATCCAAATCCCTGCTCTGACCATGGAACCAATTGGTAAGCCAATAATCTTTTCAGACAAAGAGACAACAGTAGAACTAGAAAGAGCTCACACAGGTATTGAAACGGTGGTGTTGGATCAGATAAATTTAGAAGCTATTTTGGAATTTTGTAACTCTCAAGGATTGTGTAGTGCTTTGTTGGATTTAAAGGGAAATATAGGCGATTTCGAAGAGCTTCTCCAAGACGGTATTGCGAAGAATTTGTTGCAAAAAATCGTTATAGAAGTATTGCCCCTGTGGGATGCAAATGATGGTGGGAACTTTCCTATTGCATTGAAGAGTCTAAGAAAAAGACTAGAAGTGAAGAATTTGAAGCCTAAGGTTTCAAGTGAGAATGTTGTGCTTGAGGGATATCTGTAATTTAAGTGACTAGAAACAGAAAATGAGATTTGACATCATCATTTACATGTGATGCTGGAAAGAGATGGCAGGATTCTTAGGGAACAGGGGATGGAGTCATTGTGGCATAAAGTTCATTTTTGGTCTTCCTTACAGGTTTCAGTTTCTTCCCCCCTGTGTGTTGGGGTTCGCCATAACCTAGAATAAAGAATGGTTATTGTATTGCAGTTTACATGCTTTAATGTGTACCTGTTAGGTCTGGTCGTCAGAAAAAAAGACATCCTGCCCTCTGCAGTAAAATTCTGGTTGTACTAATGTATTTTTTTTAATAAAATTTTGCTTCCTATTAAAAAAGAACCAAAAAAAGATCTTATGTGAATTGTTATCAAAAGAGACCGGAACCCAGCTTCACTTGGGAAGAGGGATCTCCTCAAGGGGAAGCGTGATTGCCACAACTACTTTCCCGTCCATTGGGTGAAAATAACACCTCATAACTGGTTGGTTTGATAGTGTACA